ATAACTAACAAAAGTGTGTCATGACCAAAATGTAAGCATGAAGGTTAAAGCATAAAATGAATGGGAAAATTATCAGGTACAAATGTTTCCGTTAGAGAAATCTGATATGTCTGGGTTTTTTCTGGGGGGTGGGGGGGAAAGTCCAAGATCTGTTCACAATCTCTAAGACCAGTGATTCCTATCTATTATACCAAAAGCTATATAAAACTCAACACAAAAATTAAAAGTTTCTTTCATTTTAAAAGCTGTCAGGTTAGTACTTATTGTTACCAATGTGCAAAGATTATAACAGAGGAATAGTCAAATTCTACATACTGGAGGAGTTCACTCAGCTATTAGATGCCTATCCTGTCCTAGGGCCTGTGCCAAGCACTTTCCCAAGAATCTCTTTCTAATCTTCAGGGCACTTTATTAAGAGTAAGCATTATTCTCATTTTAGGGATAATAATAATTCCTATTTTACAGATAGTACTATGGCTAACATGTATTGAGCACATACGATGAGACACTATTCTAAAAGCTTTATAAGTAGCAACACATTTACTGACACAGAGACGTTAAGTAATTTGTCCAAAGTTAAACAGCTAGTATGTGGCAAAACTGAAGCTCAGAAAGATTAAACAACTTGCTCCAAGCCTGACAGAGCTGTCAGCCATGGAGCCATCAGACTAATATATGGCGTCCTGCCTATGCTCCTTTTACTTGTCACCTGCCTGGTCCACCTGCACTCACCAGGGCCCAATGTAAAATGCCTAAGGGCTGGTAGTAGAGAGCGCAGAGCCTAACACAACCTAAAGAACACTGGTCCTATCTAAAGGCACCAGGCAGCAGGGTCTTCAATTCTTCAAGAGGATAGAAAAATCGAGATTTTTTCTAAAAAAGATGACTGGTAAGGGGATCTTAACCCTTGACTTAGTGTTCGCAACACCATGCTCTCCCAAGTGAGCTAATCGGCCATCCCTGTATAGGGATCCAAACCTGTGGCCTTGGTGTTATCAGCACCACACTCTCCCAAGTAAGCCACGGCCAGCCCATCGAGATCTTAATACAAGTTCTGTAGATGTTTAAATATCGCCTCAGTGTTTTCTAAAAAGCATCATGTGAGCCAAACAAAACATGTCCACAGGCTACCAGCTTACAACTGCTCTTTACTTATAAAGACTTAAGTCAAAAGATGAACTGTATGATCATGACCAAAAATGTCAGAAATCAGAGATGCTACACCAGACTTACAAGTCCTCTCTTCTTTCAGTGAAGATTTACACTGGATTTGCCCTCAATTGAAACTTTTACCTCTGCTTACTCTCTTCCAAGCCTTCCTCACTCTGGACTTGGAGCTGTGAAAATATCAATCCAAATTGCTGAAACTGCATATGAAATTTTGCATATTTGGATTTCTGTAAATGTCATTTAATCCCACCTTTTTAAAGTTGCCATACATGAATGCAGCAAAATAAAGCACTTCCCACATCCTAGCCTGCCAGCTTTTAAGCTAAACTCCTTCTGGAGAAAACGCTGCCACAGCCTTGACCACTACCTTTAAGCAGTTCAGCTCAGAGAACTGAGCTCAGGACACCACAACTCATTTCCTTGTGTCCTTTAATCAGCTGGAGGAGACTTGAGGAAATGAGTCAAAATCCTAAGGGCAACTTCTACCGACTGTCAACAACAGCAGCAAAATTCATCAGCACAACAACATCTGTACATAAATGTGATCCAACGGAAGCCCATAAATACTTGGCACATTTCTGATGAAAATTTCTTTTGGGAGGAGGAAGGTTATGAGTGGAAAATTGTCACTACATCTCACCACACTCATCCACGGTAAACAGCCAGTGGTACCAGCCATCGTTGGGGGTTTTCTCTTTCACAAGTATGCACAAGTATACAAGGCTAAGGCCATTTTCATTTTTATTTTTTGGAGTGGGGGATGGATTTCAACTGACTTCCATCATAATTTTAGAGATAGCTCATCTTCATTTCTGAGGGACCCTAACTGGAATGGAACAGCTAACACCTAAAGCCCTCAAAATCACAGGGTCAAATACCTACACACCCTTCCTCCTCCAAGCTATAATTTAATGAATCCTCGCTAAGCAAATTCTTCCCTAAAGTTGAGAACACTCTAACTCAAACATCATAAGACAGGCAATTCTAGGTCTTTTCCACCAAAATTGAGAAGATGGTGACATTGCCCATCCTGTATTCCCAGAACCTCCAACAATGCCTGGCACAAAGTAAGCACTCACTGAATGTATTTCAATGAGTCTTACTTTACAACAGATTCTGGTGAGTCATGTAAATGGATACAGTTTGGGATATGGAGCTGACCTTAGGCTTCACCAGTGATTATTTTGGGCAAATGACTTATCTAGTTCCTTCAGTTGTAAAAGAGCAGGAGTGGTAACAGTATTACCACCTGGGCTTGTTGAGAGTACTGGAAATAGCAGGTAAAGACCCAGCACACGGCCTGGCACAGTTTCCAATTAAAGAGCTAGAGCTATGTACAACACACATGTAATATGAAATTTAAGGCACATTAGAAAGCATGTGGCAAACACACAGCACACATGATTTACAAAGTCATAATAAAAGTGTGGATGAGTAGGAAAGACCAGAATAGGGATAAATGAGTTGTCTAGGATCCTTTTATAAAACCATTGTCTTATTTCCAGAGGATAATAATCCAGAATGCCTTGTGTCCAGCTGCTGAGAATGACTCTAGCCTCACACACACACAGGAACAAGGAGAAGGTATGATTCACTATTCCTTGCAGGTGGAGCAAAGGAGCTGTAAATACTGAGGGGACAGGGATAGGGGCCAGCTAGCCCTCGAAGGACAATGTAGGGGGGCATGTGGTAATTGAGGGGAGGGCGGCATAAACCACAGCTCCCTGATTTAGCCAGGGGCAGACCAGTAAGACACAGCTGTACACCAAGTGGTCCCTGTGACCAGCACAGGCAGAGCAATTTCAAAAAAGCAGGAAGATATCAGGGAAAGAGCTGAGAGTGCTGTATCTATGCTCAGAACACTGGAGGAGAATTCTGGACCCAAAGGATCCTTCATATGCAGATGCCTCATTGTGCTTTTGAGGAAACTGGACTCCCCAGAATTTAAGCGACCTGCCCAAGGACACACAGCCCATGAATGGCAGAGAAAAGGAGACCAAACTGGAGGAGCAGAGCAAGCCTTTGTCATTTACACCACACTGCCTCCCAGGGAACAGACCTTAAAATTCCCTTTGCCAAAAAAACTATTGGATGGAGCAGGCTAATTATGAGGAAGGTTTAATTTTTTAAAAAGGGAAATATTTGGCATGATTTGTCTTTCTAGCCTCCTAGAAAGATCTAGTTCATGTACCTTAACTGATATAAAAAGGCCGAGGCACAAAAACATAAAGACGAAATGTGTCATTTTGACCTAGGCGATCAAACCCGCCAAGGAATCCTGACACTCACTGGTGACCCCTGGTGACCCCTCCTCCGGCACAGGGGTCCGGACGCAAGGGCTCTCTTCCCCTACAGGAAAGCCCTCACAATGCCTTACAAGACCTGGATGGTGGAGGCGGCATCTTGAGACTTTCTGGAGAAACTGACCGGTAGCCGACAGAGCCTCACAACAGTTCATCGCAATGCTTCCCTAAGACTGCCTGATTCCAGTTGAACTCACTTTCTATCCTTACATCATCAGGGTAACCACATAGGATTTTTCTAAAAAATAAAAAGACCTGGGAGAGAGCAGGGCTTCAGGAGTTAGCCAGGCGACCCGCAAGCGAGGGCGCATCAGCGACACCTGGAAAAAAAGGGAAGAGGAGGCAGGAATCTGACTGGGGGCTCCAGAAGCCTGCAAATCCTCCTCCACTTTAAGATACAAGTTCCCTCGTGGACATAGCTGGATTTTCCTAACAGCTTGAGGAACCAAGTAAGATTGGCAGGAAGTTCCACTCCATCTCCCACACCCCACCTTAGGCAGTCTTGAAGTACAAATACCACGCGGGAGGAGGTGTCGCGAATCTCAAAATTGCCGAAGAAAACGGACACCTGCGTTTACAAGTCGCAGACACCGAAACGAGGGGCTTCCAGAGCCCGCCAGGCTGGCCAGGCTGGGTGCGAGAGGCCACCGGGGTCGGTCACCGCAACGTCCCAGCGCGCTGTCCCTGCCTACCCGGAGCAGGCGACAACCGCAGCCTCCAGCCGCTCCCGGGCGCGTGGCAGGAATGAAACAGCACCGCGGCAAAAGGGGGCGAGCCTCCGGCACGGGATTTACGAAAGCAAAAAAGTCTGCAACCTAGTGGCTGCTTTTCATACGCCGTGCCCGAGTTGTCCCTGTCGCCGCCACCTCCAGCCTCCTGGGGTCCCGCCCCAGAGCCGCACGCTCCCCGCGCAAAACGATAACCAGAGGGACGGGAAGCACCGCAGCCTTCGACTCGTCTGCACGGGTGGCGCCGCAAGCTGAGGCGGCGGCGGGTCTGTCCCCAGCCCAGGGCACAAAGAGCGTCCGCGGTCGGAAAGCAGCAGCCGCAGAGCAAAGAAAAGGCTCTCCAACTTTGCCCTCGACGCGGCCGGGAACCTGCCGGGTGGTCCTCGGGTGCGCGGGTCACACACACAACTTTTAACAAAAGGAAGCTGTGACCGCTCCTCACACGGCGAGATAACGCGCTCGGAGCGAACCCCCGAGCCGCCCGCCTCTGCCACCCGCGCACCGTCCGCACAAAAGCAACCCCCAACTAGCCCGGCCGCCCGCAGCCTGAGCCTCGCTCACGCCTAAGCCCCCTCGCTGCCCCCGTTCTCGGACGACCTCCGGCTCAGCGCCCCACGCCACCAGCAGCGGGGGCCCCTCGCGCAGGTGAGCGAGGCAGGGCGCAGGAGAGTCCCGGGGCCGCCTCGAATCTTCCCGGAGGCTGCAACACGGAGGGCCCGCAGCCTCCTCTCCGGACCCACCCCTCCGGGGCACAGGCTGCGCCGAGGGTCGCGGCCCGGTGGCCGCAGCAATGTCCCACCTGTCTGGACGCGGAGCAGGAGGAGCAGCACGCAGAGAAAATCCCAGGCGCCGCGAGCGCCTCTCATCGCGGTGGCTGTGCTAGGACCGGAGCTGTGTTCCACGTTCCAGCTCTCGCCCAAGTGCACCGAGCGCGGCAAAGCCGAGCCCCCAGAGCCGCGAGCGCCGAGCAGCAGCCCCTCCTCCCAGCGCCCTCCCCCTGCGCGCCGGCCACGCCCCTCCTCGGCGCCCCTCCTCGCCTCCCCTCCCTCCCTCCCGCCTGGGTCTCGCTCCCTCCCGGCGGCGTCTGGCCCCAGCTCCTTCGACGTGCTTATCCCGGGGGGCTGTGCCCGCTGGGAGGGCAAGGGGGCTGGCGCGCAGGCCCTCAGCCGCCCGCTCTTGACCCCCGAGCCTCTTCATCTCTCCACCTCTCCTCCCCTGTGATGCGATCTGCCCGCCCGAGGCGGCTCCCGGACGCGGGTGGTGCTGCCCGCACGCTGTGTGAAGCTGGGCACCACGCGCACATCAGGGCACGGGCCCACCACCTGGCAGGTGCTCCCCAGACAATAAAGGTTGGCCGCCCACCCCTAGCGCACGCTGAGGAGAAAGCAGGCTGGACGCCGCTAGTGTGGAGGTGGCGCGGGGACAGGAGGGGGAGGTGAGGTTGGGAAATTGGACCCCGACATTCTTCTCCATTCCTGTTAGTCGAGGGGGACCAAGCGTGGCGCCTGGCACCGCAGTAAAAGGCTGAGCGGGGGGTTAGGTAATTCTTTATGCTAAGTTTCTTCACCTGCTCCGTAACCTGTAAGAACACAACTGGCTTCTATTGGTCGGTGTGGCCTCCGCCCAGCAAGCCCTTGCCGAGACTTTGGTAGAGACTGGGGCGGTGGGGTGGGGAGGGGTGCCTTGCGAAGTTTGCTCTGGGAGCCCTGGGCGCCTTCCCCCCCCCCCCCCCCCCGTACGGTTTCTCCGCTTCTGTATCAGACCACAGTTACAGGGCTGGGGATCCCTGCGTTCCTCTTAGCTGCCCTAGCACGTCCCAGGAACAAAATAAAAGTAAAACGATTCTCTTAAGCCAGATTACATTGCTTAGGAAGTGTGTTACCCATTTACTCACTGTGGCGATCCTTGAATGGAAGGTAATAACAGTTATCTGTATATGGCTTTATAGTTCTTCCCCGCGCTGACTTATTTCATGCTCACAGTAACAGCTTTGTGAGGTAGGTAGAGCAGATGTGTTTATTTTTTTAGTTCTAAAAGTGGCCCAAGATCACAAAGCTAATAGAAAGGAAACTCAGGGTTTGAACTCTCATTTTAAGACCTCCAATTATGATGAGATTTCCCTATGCATTCTGATAAACTAATAAAACATCCCTCCAAAGAACTTAACAATGGAAAATAAATGGCAGGCGCCCATCAGAAAAAGGGGATAGAATAATTTATGTACACCTAGACTCCTCTAAAGTATCATCCAAAATTTATAATTAATAATTTATAATTGCCCACTTAATATTGAAAGCTCTCCAGTTTGATGGTGCCAGGACCCAGGTTGATTTAAGAAAAATGACTTTTAAGGCTAATCACTTAAAAATTATCAGTACTAGAGGACGATCAAATGATCAGTGTGCATAATTGCCTCTCTTTAAATTTGTGTATTTATTCATTCAACAAGCACTTATTAAATGTCTACGGTGACGCAAGGAGTAGCTAGGCACCAGGAGTACTATTGTTCCTAGACAGATGTGGGCCCTGCCCTTACAGTCCTTACAGTCAAGTGGGGAACCCACCCTCCAGGGTCCTAGCAAGAGGTTCAAGTCATCCAGCTGTCGCAGAACTGAGACTCAAAAGGTCTCTGTGCCCCGGACCATCAGGCCACATTTTTTCTTAGAATGACAGATAAAAGATACCACTCAAAGCAATCATAAGTTTCTGGGATCTTGATTTATTTCTAAAATCCATTTTGTATTGAGAAAAAAATCACTGAGTTAAAATATCAACATTATGCCTGAGAGAGAAAATTTACAATTTTCTTCTTCAATCAACTGATATTGCAGAGGATAAAATCTTCAGCAGAGTGGGTGAAAAGAGACCATATTGCAATTTAATTCTAGACAAGAAACTTCTATGGGGGGGGGGAGGGAATTACACAATGCTGGACTGTCATTCCTGTTTGTCATTCAACGAACATTTATTGAGAACCCAGGTAGGCACAAGACCTACAAAAATGAATAAGACAAAGGTCCTGCCTAAGGGAATTCACAGTCCATCAGGGAAAACAGGCACCCAAAAAAGAAACTATAATATCTGCTAACAGAACTCATGTTTAGCCAGTACTCACCAGTTTGGCCATATTGATTGGTAGAATATTAAAATTCTTCTGTAATGATTAGGAATAAGCCATTCCTAAACACCTCCTAAATGCCCCCCTTACCCCAACTCACCTTTGAGACATCCCAAATCATCTTAGATCCAGCAACTGAAGGTTTAATGCTGGGCACAGCAGAGAGCCTCCAGTACCTGTGCCTTTAGAGTTGTTAGCTATTTTTAATAATACCCCCTGTCTGTTTTGTACTAAAAGGAGGCATATCTAAGGTGCTATGAGCAAACTGCTATGTGAATGAGCTATATTGTAGACCAGCACTGTCCAACAGAACGTTTGCAACAATGGAAATGGTTTATATCTGAGGTAGGACGTATGGATCAGTTCTATTCTGTATTTTGTGATGGTCCTGAACTCTTTCATGAATTGTGCTTTCTATACTTTATTGTTTTCATAATTGTTTTAGTGAGGACTCTTGATTGCAGCTGGTAGAAACCCAGCTCAAACTGACTTAAGCAAGCAAAGAAACGTAAAATGTATTTGGCTTTCATAACTGGAAAATCCAGGGAGGATAATGTTTCAATCTTTCCTAGATCCAAGGACTCAAAGTCATTAGTACTTGAAGGGTGGAGGTGTTTGTGTGCGCATTTTTCTCCATCTTAATCTTTCAGCGATACTTTCCTATGTTGCTTTGCTGTCCTCGTGTTTATTCAGGCAGCTCTAGGATTACAGCTCATTAGTACCAACAGAAACAGAGCTTTTCTTCCCCCATAAACATCTCCTTTAAAAGTATTGAAACTGGGCCGGCCCGTGGCTCACTCGGTAGAGTGCGGTGCTGATAACACCAAGGCCCCGGGTTCGGATCCCATATAGGGATGGCCGGTTTGCTCACTGGCTGAGCGTGGTGCTGACAACACCAAGCCAAGGGTTGAGATCCCCTTACCGGTCATCTTTTAAAAAAAAAAAAAAAAGTATTGAAACTGAGTCTCACTGATCTGGCTTAAGGCACGTGCTCATCCCTAACCACTCACTGAAACCATAGGAATGGAATATGATGAGTGGCCAGGTCTGAGTCACATGTCCACCCCAGAGCAGGGGCTGGGGGTCCACTTCATCCACACCACGTGGCCTAAGATGAGGAGGGGTGTGCCCCATGTACTCTCACCATAAGGAGGATTGCTGCTGCACAAATAGAACAAAAGATGTTCAGTGCATCATATTTCTGATTATAAAAGTAAAGAAGCTTATTGTAGAAAACTTGGAAAATACCAAAAATTATATATCAAAACAAAAATCACCCAAAATATAACCACTGAAAAGTTCATTTTAGCATATTTCTTTCTAATCATTTTTCTCTGCTTATATGTGAGGGCTTTTTTTTTTCCCCCTTTAAGATCTTAATATATTTGCTAGTTTTCTATTCAGTTTTTTCGTGAAGAACATGAGTGTTGTCCCAGATCATTAGAACTTCTTTGGAAACATAATGTAAAATGGCAGTATAATGTTCAATTGTATGGATATACCATAATTCTGTATGTTTAATCATTTCTCTCTATATTTTTTTCTTCTTGTTTTTCTTTACTATTATAAATTACCTGGTGATGAGTATCTTGGTGAATAAAACTTGCTTGTCTCTGATTATTTATTTAGTATAGATTCCTAGGGGTGGAATTACTATACCAAGAGTATAATACTTTTCAAGCTTGCTTTTTAATAATCCTTGTTTTACTGGTAATCATTTAAAAGTCTTTTGTCCATAAGGTTGAAAAATGAATATACAATCCTCATTGTTGGACTCTACACTAACAATAACCACCTCACGGTTAGTGAGGATGAGAGGAGATAATGCATGATCTCGATTACAGCTTTCTGTAATCAAGATCCTCTATGTGCCAGATGCACTACATTAGGTGCTGGGAGTACAAAGTTAGATATAACACAGAAGCTGCCCTCATGGTATTTATAGTGAAAGGGGAGAGACGCGTAACAGGGACAAAGACTACATTGTTGTAAGTACTCTAACAGAGCTATGCTATACACAGGGTAATGTCTGAACCCAGAGGAGCACCTATGTGACAAGTACAGTGACCTTCTGAGGCTTCCCCAAAAAAGGGTCAATAGGATGCCAAAGGATAGGGAGGAGGGGAAGGGAAAGAAGAGGAGGAAAATGTTCAAGCAGTGGGAAGTACCCATGCAAAGGGCTAGAGGCGTGAAAGGGCACAAGGAATATGACATGCAGTTAGGGAAGCAGGACTTGGAGGGGAGGGAGGTTGAGACCATGGTGATAGAACAGAACCGTAAATGCCAAGAAATGTGAACTTCATTCTCTGAGCTAGGAAGAATCACTAAAGGACTTTAGGCTAGGGCCTGATGTGATAAGGTTTACATTTTGCAAAGATGGGGGGGAAGCTCAGTGCGGATGAGTTGAAAGGGGACAAAACTTGAGGCAGGAAGTTTGTAAGGAGCCTGATGCGGTGATACACGGGGAGAGATGGGGATCTGAATGAAGTCTGCTGAGGTGGGAATGGTGAGAGGGGATGAATGAGAGATGTGAAGTAGACTCGGTAGGCCTCTGTGAAAGGCGAGAGGAAGAGGAACTCCAACTTCCGATGTGAGCCACATACTCTCCCTTCCAGCCAGACCTGGAGGCAGGTTGGTATGGAAGGTGAAGGATTTGGAGTGCAGCCAGTTGGATTTGAGTGCTCATGGATTTCTTAAAGCTAGGTATGCAGGCCTGGGGCCTGAGGCTCAGCACAGGACCAGGCTACAGAGAGGTGGCTGCAGCCTCAGTTTGGATGAGGTCCTCCAGATAGTGTGTACATTC